ACCCCCCCACCCCTCTGTAAATTGAAATGCTAGAAAGTATAGCACAAACAAAACAGTTTGGTGCCGGCTCTGTGAATCTATGGCTCAGTCATTCTATAACAGGAAGCCGCAGTTTTGTGGGCATTTAGATGTGGTTTGCTCCTTTTACTTCTTCTCACTCCGTGTGACTATCCAGGACATTCACCTGTCTATGACAGTGGCTTTTCTCCTTTTGGCTGTCTTGGACAATTTCGAATGTTTTCTAACTGTGTACCACAACTCAACAACTTACACAGGAAATCACAGTGTGCTGGACAACTTTCTGATCTAAATGTCTTTAGATTTCTGTAACAAATTTCAGTGGGGTCTGTTATCTTCCTGTTTTTCTGAAGACCAAATTTATCCAAAACTTTTTGTGCTTGCTTTTCAGGTTCATGCAAAATGTTCCATCCTCAATTTCAACTTGTTTTTCCGGAGCTGCAAATCCAAATTCTGGTAAGAAGTGTGGTCATCGTGTTATCAAAGTTTACCACTCTTACTTTTTTTTTTTACCCACTCCACCTTGGCGTTGAACATTTTAGCAACATTTACTTTTAATGCTCATGATACAAACCTTTCTATGACTAGCCTTGGCTGTTGAACGATCTTCTATTGTCTCTAATACTTACCAACCCTTGAAAGTCCCTTTTTTTTTTTTAGAATGCTTTTAAAGTCTAGTTGGAGTGGGTGGTTGGCAGGTACTTTGGTGTAGTTTGCTCCCTCTTTCCTATCAAACGTCTACCATCCTTATCTCTCCTCCTTCTTTTCTTTGTATGCTGCTCTTTGGTAACACCTTGAATCTTCAATTAAAAATTTAGTTTAGTGTAATTTTCTGTATATAGTGTTCCCTGGTATCCCAACTCCACTAGCTGGCTGCATTTTGTGACAGTAATCATGCACGGTGTAAATGAACCAGTTTTCTTCCCTGGGCAGTGTACTCTGATACCATGGCCAAGTTCCTAGATGTCGTGAAAAAACTGAAGTACGAGGAGACCCCGGGTTACTGGCGCCTGAAGACGATTCTACGAGACGGCTTGACGAAGGCCGGCCACAAAAACGAGTGGACCATCGACTTTTCCGTGCAGACCAAGGTAGGAGTCAGGATGGGCGGCCTGCTCCCTCACGAAGGAGCCCACTCCCCGCTGATAGAGGAGACCACGGGCATGCCTCACTCAGTGAACTGTCCTTGTCCTCTCAGCTCTCTAAACCACTTGAGTTCTTCCAGCTATCTTCTAAATTCTCAGAGTCATCCCTTGAATTCTTCACATTATCTCCCGAACTCTTCTAGTCATCCCTTGAATCATTCAAATCATCCTTTGGATTTTTCAAATTATCTCCATAATTCTCCAAATCATCCTTTGAATTCTTCAAATTATCTCCTGAGTACTCCAAATCATCCTTTGAATTCTTCAAATTATCTCCTGAATACTCCAAATCATCCTTTGAATCCTTCAAATTATCTCCTGAATTCTCAAAGTCATCTCTTGAATTCTTCAAGTTATTACAGCATCTCATTCCCACAACAAACAACACGAGATTATGACAAAAACTATATCCTGGTCTTTGCCATAGCATCTGTCATTGTAGTCTTAGCCCTGTATTTTTAGGATAATGCCCTTTGAAAAGAAACTCACTGAGCCGCAGGAAGCTGTTTTATGCTTTTGGGGCGCAAGTGTAACAGCTTCAGAGGGTCTTTTTTGCAACTGCACGCAGATCAGTCTAAGCTATCTATTTCCTAGAATTTCACCTACAGGACACAGGCATTTATAGGGCATGAAAGAGCAGTAGGAAAGTGAAAAGCTTACATTTTTGTTGTTATTTACAGGGATTAAAGAGATATGAATATTTTTTGCTGCTTGCAAGAACTTTTGGGGTAAAATCTACACTATCGTTCAGACCCCCTTTCTCATCATGATCACCTCCTGAACTAGCGCTGTCATTATCAGAATAAACCGAACCCGTCATCTCCTTCAAGCTGAAGTCCACCTTTCATCATCATCATCATCATCATCATCATCATCAACGCCTTTCACCCCTGGCAGGGTATAGGCCACACACAAGCTCTTTCCATTTATCTCTGTCCTGGACCATCCTTCCTAGCTCGTTCCAAGTGAACTTCATCTCTCATGTCCCTTTCCACGCTTCTCCTCCATGTTTCCCGTGGCCTACCCCTGCCTCGTGCTCCTTGTGGGTTCCACTGCAGCGACTGTCTTGTGATGTTTCCCCTGGGCTTTCGTAAGGTGTGTCCCATCCATCGTCACTTTCTTAGTCCTATTTCTACTTCTATCATTCGCTTCTGTCCAGGCTGGTTTAAGTGGGTCTCGCTGATTCCCAGTATGTGTAGTTGGTATCGGTGCATCTCTTGGAGGACTTGAAGTCCATCTTTGCTACACTCAAATTGTTTGGCAAAATCATCTTTAAGCACTGAGCAGGAGAACAGTCTCGAATAACATTTTAAAAAGTTTTTAAAAAATAAAATGGATTACTTCTTTGTTGGTCTCTGTAGGAGTATATTAATTGAACAATTGCAAGGACTCTACAAATATGTATAATAATTTACCAAAGTCACATTACTTACTTTACTTTACTTTCCGATCCAGCGGCCTTTTGGGTTCTAGCCCTTCGGCCTGGGAGCAAAAGTCACATTACAAGTACCCACTGTCAGTCACCACTCTTCAGCCCCCTGTTTTGGAGCTCCGGTTGCCCTGTCATGCTAAAAGACACACCCCAGTGACTACCCTCCTCACTGCTGTTTCACTGGCGTATGCGTGTCATTATTGTGACTTGAACCCCTTCATAACTGCCCCTGTACATGGAACATGGTCAGCCAAGATGCCATCCTCCCATACTATTTACACATCCTAAAATGAATTATCCACAGTTTTATCAGGGTTGTAAATCTTCCGGGTTTTTCCAGCCGACTTGCCATTTGGGCCCCAGCTTTTAACAAAAGTCCACTATACACAATACATATTGTATATACCAAATAGAGATTATTTGTTGTGATAGAGGGAAAGAAACAAATATAATTTAGTCTCACTGTATTCTTATTTCAGTCAGTGCGCGCGCACCATATATTTTCCGGCTTTTTTTTGTCAAAACCTGTTTACATCCCTGTTTTATAACGGTTTCCACAATTTGTTTTGAAATGGAATTTTATCACAAAACCAACGGATGTCCTGGCTAGCAAATATGTGTGTGTGCCTAGAAAATGGTACCTAAAGTCGCCCCGGACCGTTTCGAGCTACAGGCTGAAAATGACAAAAATCACTTTTTTGACCAAAATGTTACAATTAAAAAAAGATGATAGATCCACCATCTTTTTACAATGTGCTCGAAGGGTTTTCATTGATTTGACTTCTAAATATTTTTTAAAAAATTATTTTGAGGGTAGGGTATAATAAAAACAAATAATGAAAATTGCTTTTAACAGGTGTTAAAATCTATTCTTGAAGCAGGTTTTCTCTTCCCTGCTATGTTTTACCATTGAAATTCCATTCATGATATTGATGTCAACTGAATGCCAAATTGGAAATGAATTTTCCAAGAATAAATACATTTAAAAAATGGTTTTATAAAAGTTTGTATGTGTTCTCACATTTGTTAAACTTAAAAGCTAATTTTCTCAAAATTATATTTTCTACCCTACTTCGCAAAATGTGCAATATCTCAAAAACTATTTGAGATATCTCAAAAATTCAAAGACCCCAGTGGTCAGCTTTGAACATAAGGTACAACTCTTTACTCAAAACGGTCGAAATCCGACTTTTGGTACCTTTCTTTAGACACACACACATATTGTCTGTAGTAAGAGGTTGGTTTTTTTTTAACTTACATCACGTTGGGGTTAAGCTCACTAATGACTCAGCCACTTGATTTTATCCACGATGTTAGAGAGCTGGAGATGAAGATGAAAATCAGTATTGTATCCTCTTGTCGTTTTCTTGCCTTTTCTCTCCCATGCAATTTGCAGCAGTACAGGATGTGCATCATGAAACAATAGAAGGGGAAAAAATGAACGAAATATTGCAACTGATCCGGTGTCATTTGTCTTTCTTTTACTTTTAATTGAATACTTTTTTAGTGTTTGCCAAATTGTGTTTATCAATCATCGGGCTATAACTTTTGTAGCAGACTTTGATTACTTTGCTTGGTACTGTTGATTTAATGTTGGAGCCTTTGATTTGATCATTTTCTCTTTTCTTACATTGAAATTAGGGGGACGGGCTGTTCTTTTTTTTTTGTCTCATATTTTTTATAATCAGACTTTTTGTTTTGCTCTGTACTAGTTCCCTGGCTGTTTTTTCAAGGATTGATTTTTTAAAAAATTTTTTGGCTTTTGGCTCATGAAAGTTTCTGGAAATGTTATGGATCAGTTTGGATTTTGCCGCAGATGCTTTGACATTTTTACTTGCACAGCAGTTTATTTATGTCTGTCTTAATGTTTATGAATACAGTTTTTATATAGGGTGAGGATTTATTATTACATGTTTTCAGAAATCTGCGCTTCAAACATAGGAAGAATTAACCATGAAAGAAGCTGCATGAAGAAAACCTTGAGACCATCTTAAGCTAAATTGACCGTCTGCATAGAGGAAAAGAGCCATACATAATAAAATAATTGGTAAAATTTGCTACTAATAACCGATTGACCGCAGAGCGTCAAAACATATGCTGTGGGGAGTGGAGTGGCTAATTTTCTACTTGTTCTGGTTCTAGATGATAAAGCTTAACCCATTTTCCTCAGCACTATTTGTATATTTGTTGTAAGTTCTCATGTTTGGTATCTAGTTAAAGATATCATGTCTGAAAGTAAGTTTTCATCTTCCAACAATGAAGTGAAATCACTGTTCAGTGACTTAGAATGGATATATTATTCTGTCCCCATGGTTTTATGCACCCCGCATAATTTAGCAAAATTTGATCATTTTTTTGCATAATTTTTTATTATTTTTCTTTATCATAAAAAATTAACAGAATCGAATAATTTCTCATTTTGAGCTCAGTTTGCGTAATTTCAGAATTTTTCTTGCATAAAACGACGGGGACTGATTATTGGTGTTCATTAAGCTACAAATAGCTTTTAGCCTTTCTATTTTCCTGTCAGGTTGCATCTGATGTGATATGTACCTTTTGTCAGCTTTATTTCTTTTCACATTGAATTTTAATGGGAGTAATATAGAATTAACATATGTATACCTGCATGTGTTTTTACGGTCCTTTACAGCGAAGAAAAATTTCCCTCTGGGATAATAAAGTATTATCTTATCTTACTTATAAGATATTCAGTACAAAATGTGAGCCAGACTTTACTCTGTTTCTCTCTGTCCTCAGACGACCACAAAGAGGAAGAGCACTGGCGGATCCCCCAACGCTCTGTCTCCGGTGAAGAAAGCTAAGGCTGGGGGAGCCTCGGCCGCTGCCAGGAAAAAAACTACACCCAAGAAAAGAACACCAAAGACTGCTACTCCCAAGAAAAGAACGCCAAAGACTGCTACTCCCAAGAAAAGAACGCCAAAGACTGCTACTCCCAAGAAAAGAACGCCAAAGACTGCTACTCCCAAGAAAAGAACGCCAAAGACTGCTACTCCCATGACTACCGAATCCCTCGAAACATCCCCGGAGACATCCCCCGAAATAATGCCGTCATCTAAAAGAAATGGAGCTGCCAGATTGGCAGCAAAAGCATCTCCTGTTCCCCGGAAAAAAGCAACTCCGAAGAGGGCTACTCCCATGACGACAAAATCCCCCGAAACATCCCCCAAAGTGACGTCTTCTAAAAGAAAAGGTCGTGCAAAATTTACGGCAAAAGCTTCCAAGAAAGACAGCGTGGCTGTGAAGCAAGCTAAAGGACCAGTGCCCGATACCCCTCTCACGCGGAGCCCATGGCCCCTGGTACCAAATGAGGACGGAGACTCTCTGCGACAGAGCAGCAGTGCGAAGAAAGACTTCCCCATGCCAGCGCCCTCAGTACCTGCTGCTCGTTCTCCAGGTAATAATAATAATAGATAGCATTTGTATGGCGTAATAATGGATAGCATTTGTATGGCATAATAATAGGTAGCATTTGTATGGCGTAATAATAGATAGCATTTGTATGGCGTAATAATAGATAGCATTTGTATGGCGTAATAATAGATCGCATTTGTATGGCGTAATAATAGGTAATAATAGATAGCATTTGTATGGCGTAATAATAGGTAATAATAGATAGCATTTGTATGGCGTAATAATAGATAGCATTTACATACGCAAATCCCCGCTCAACAGCAAGCTCTGTGGGCTTCACAATCTATACTATTACCCCAGCAGATCTGAGAGCATTTGGAAAAAAACTCAACTTCCTGGGAAGCATACAGTGCCAGCGGACATTTATAGGCGCTAAAACACTAACATATTGACATCTTTCACTGTCTATAGCTGGGTACTCATTCCAACCTGGGTAAAGTGAGGAAAATTTGTGTAAAGTGCCTTTCCCAAGGACACAACGTCGGGCCTGGGCCCGTGGCTCGAACCCCCGAACCCGCAATCTCACGATTGCAAGTCTTGCAACCTGACGCCATTTAAAAAAAAAAAAAATGTTTAATGACACAATGAAATAGCAGGAAGCACTTAGTAGATCTACATAAGATTGAATAAATGATCAATCAAGGTAAGGTGGATGTGTATGGCTGCTTTGTTACTTCTCAAGATTTCTCTGTTATTTTGTCTTTAAAAAAGTGGGAGCTCTGACGGTTCTTTTGTTAACTTTATTTCTTAAACGTTTTTTCTTTTTCTTTTAATGTCATCATCATCATCATCAATGCCTTTCACCCCTGGCAGGGTATAGGCCACATACAAGCTCCTTCCATTTATCTCTATCCTGGGCCATCCTTCCTAGCTCGTTCCAAGTGAGCTTCCTCTCTCTCATGTCCCTTTCCACACATCTCCTCCATGTCTCTCGTGGCCTACCCCTGCCTCGTGCTCCCTGTGGGTTACAGTGCAGTGACTGTCTTGTGATGTTTCCGCTGGGCTTTCTGAAAGTGTGTCCCATCCAACGCCACTTTCTTAGTCCTATTTCTACTTCTATATCCTTTTGTCCTGTCCTTTCCCACAGCTCCTCATTTCTTATTCTATCCTGCCCCTTAATTTTTAGGATACTCCTCATACATCTGTTTCTTTTAATGTAGGTGTATAATATATATATGCCCCCAACGACACGGTTTAGATCATTTAGGAGGTGGGCTTCAACCCTACCTGTCAGGGTCAACCCAATCTGAGAAGGATACAACATCCCAAAAGAAAGACTAAAATACCTGATAAAAGTTCTCCTCACTCAGGAATTAAACTCAGGTCTACTTGCGTGTGATGGCGAGGTGCCTGACCACTGCACCACAGACGTAGGTAAAAACACTGTGGTTGTCTTTGGAAAGTCTAGAAGGTTTGACACTTTTGTTTTTCCTTTTTCGTCTTCTATTATCTATTTGTGGTGGCCGAATTTTGCTATTCAAAAGGCTTTTTAATGGGTTCATCGATCGACAAGCGGTTTTGGCCAAAAGATTCTTTAAATTATTCTCCAGATCTTGACGCCTTTCGCTTTTTCAGTTTTGAGACAGTTTTACTGCAAAAAACTAAATTTCTTTATTTCGCCGATTGCTTTTGTACGCCGATGCTTCTGTCTCTGTAATTTTGAAAAAATCCGGTGCGGAAGAGTCATTTTGCGAGGCGCACTTTGTTTTGAGAGTATAGATCTAGATGTAGACCTTCTAATTTTTTGCATCTCTCAAGATTTATTGCTCCATTCCAGTAGAGTGTAAATATAGTAGGCCAATGGCTTTCAGTTGATGTTAATGCACCGATCATTCCTTTCATTCGAAAGGGGGTCCAGCTAGTTCATTTTTATTTCTCTTTTTTGTCAGCATTCACAATAAGCTCCTGGACAGCTACTGCATTTTCTTGGATCCTCTACTAAGTGTGGCTGTTTTGTTCACAACCCAACTGCCCTACTTGCTGTACTGATGGAACGTAGCTCCCTCTGTCTCAGTGTAGAGTCTATGCTGGGTGGTTGGTGGATGCTCTGGTGTGGCGGCTTGCTCCTTCTTTCCTATTGAACATCTGTCGTCTTTATCTTCCCTCCTTCTTTTTTTGTGTTTGTTACTCTCTTGTAACACTTCTCATCTTTGGCTCTTTTATGACCATATTGTGTTGCAAGTGCCATAAAACTCTTACTAAAACGGACAAAAGTGGCTTCACTGTCTCAGTGTAGAGTCTATGAGACCTCCCAACTCTCATGAAATTGAAGATGAATTTCCCTTTATTTTCTATTGTTCACACTTTGTCCATCAGAGGAAATTGTTAATCCCTCCCAGCCTGACTCGGCCCAGTGACAGAAATATGCAATGTTTGACCCATGATAAGAGATATGTGCACAATCTGTACTTATTCATTATGGAAACTTTACTTATCAAATGAGTGTTTTGTGTGATGTGATGTGTGCCAATGGCCTTAAACACTGAATAAACTTACTTACTTACTATGAAAGCTCCCAGGTAAGGTAGATTAGATTCCACTGTTTCTGTGTAAACTGCTCATCACCAACCTTTCCCTGTACCTTATTCCTCTTTGTTTCTTTTATTTGTTTTTATAGCGGCGAAATATGTGTGACGAGGAGGACAGTCGTTCAAAGTGACGCTTCCATCCAGACATCCCCAGGACTGGCATTGAAGAGATGAGAGCAAGGAAAGTCGTGTGTTGTCAATGACATGTTGTGTCTCGCTGATGTGTAGTCAACCAACGACATGTTGTGTCTCGCTGATGTGTAGTCAACCAACGACATGTTGTGTCTCGCTGATGTGTAGTCAACCAACGACATGTTGTGTCTCGCTGGTGTGTAGTCAACCCAACGACATGCAATGGTTACATTTCTCCAAGTTGCAGATGTTGAGGATACATTTAGACTAAGATGTTAAGATGAAGTAAGTGCTTCCTGCCCTCCAAAGTAATAAGTAGAAGTAATAGAGCAGGATCCTGACATAAAAGTTTCTGTAGATGCCTTTGGGATATATTCATAGTTTGAAAAATGGGGGGGAGGGG